GAGGCGCTCATCTGTCGGAATGTCTGACACTTGATGTCTATAATGGGTTCGCTGTGCAGGCATTGACTCAACAAGAGTTTGCCGTTTTCGGTGTATATCCGGAAATAGCCCGAAGAGAAGCCGATGACAATCGCCGTCCAGTCGTTGAACGCGAACGACGAGGACTTCTGTTGCGACACAATGGGAACCAATAGGAGACACGTTATCTCCTCAAAGGCCGCGTTCTGTCCGCTCGTCAGTTGTGTCTCAAAACTCAGATGCAATTCACGGCAGCCGTCGGTGGGGGCGACGGTAGACTTGGCGGCGGTGGTGGCGCTCGAGCTCTGATCGCCCGGCTGTTTGAGTCGATATACGGCTAAATGGCTTTGTTTGGCGAATGCCATCAGATCCGAGAACGGGCTGAACGTCACCATCGATGACATCAACCGTTGCGTCCAATCGGTGTCGTCTGCGGCCGTCTGGTCGTCGGTGGTGTCCAAGAAGTGACTCGTTTGCCAATTCCAACGATTGTCGTAATCATCATCTAATGGGTGCGAAGTCGTGGATCAGTTGACAGCGAGTTCACGGCGAAGACATATCGCGATGGCATACCTCTGTTGCGCTCCTGAATGGTCTGGTAGTCGGGCACCAGTATCTGCTTCAAGGCCTTCAAGTCGCTTAAGACGCAGAACTTCTTGAGCGATGCGGTCATGGCGTGGATGTGGTGTCTGGAGAGCGGATGCGATGCCTTTGATAGTGATATGAATCACATGAATGAGTGGCGAAACAAACAGACGCTCTGACGTCACACTCACGCCTCCAACGCATAAACAAAACATACGTTTTCTATGAACGACTCCACGCCGTGAGAGACGTCACAGATATAACGTGACTCTCGTTGACATTTCGAGGCCAATGGGCGCCAACGCGTGGGGCGCGAGAAGTGGCGCCAAAAGCGTCACAATTTTGTGAACGGCTCCGCGATTTTAGCGCCCAATAAATACAGACGTCTTGCGAACCAAACGTATTGTAAACACAATAGAGTTTACACTGAATTAGCACTCATTCACGCATTAAACACACGTTTCCATCGGTTTTACAATCGTTTTCATGATTAACATCTCGTTTGAGACGCCAATTGTGTCGCCATTTGTCGCGCAAACATCACCGCCGAAGAGCACCGCCACCACAGCCGCCGAAGCCATGATCTGTATGAACGCCACGACGAGCGCCGACTCGTCCAACGACTCGTCGGTCAGCGGCGGCTACTCGTCGTCCATATCGATGCCCACGTCATCGCCGGTCAAGTCGTTGGCCATCAAACAGCTGTTGGAGAGTCCGCTCATTAAGGCGCCGGTGGCTGTCGTCCAGAGCTCCTCCACCACCTCCTCGTCATCCGCGGCGCCGTCCGAGTCGTTGTCCACCACTTCTTCAGCGCCGGTTGTGATGAGTTCGCAGACGAGCGTTGAGTCGTCGGACGACACGGATTTGGACACAAATCCAGAGCTAAACGCCGTTTTGGTGGCCGAGTCGCCGGAACCGTCGCCACAGTCGACGCTCGAAGACGTGAACAACGAGGCGACGGACGGCGTGACAGAAGTGGCCGACAGTCAGTCGAGTCAGTCGTCCGTCACATCCATGACAACGGCTGCGGCCGAAGACGACTCGAACGACACGACGAGCGGCGGTTCCATTGGTGGCCGCAATTGTCTGCGACGGCAGACCTCTATGTGCGTCAATACCTCAATGTCTTCTCCGCGAGCGTTGGCTATACTGAAGAACGCCATCAAAACCTCTTATAATAATAATTCAAATAAATTTTGTGATAAAATGGTTGTCAACAGTAATAACATGAATGGCGGCGAAGACGTGACCAATAAGGGTGTCGTGGAGTCCAACGGCTGCCAGAGTCCGCCGAATCACAAACTGATCCGCAACTCGCCGTTCAGTCGCGGATCAGTGTATCTAAAGGCTGTCAAAGAGCGCTTTGAGACCCAAAGGGCCGATAGGAGTCCCAAAGTGGTCAACGATTTGTCGATTGAGTTGTCGATTGACTCGAGTTTCGACCGCCAACTGAAGGGTATTATCCGTAAACACGAGTTACAGTCGTCGCCCACCAGTTCAGGGGAACCGAAGGCCAAGAAGAAGAAGGTGTTGTTCGCCGAACCAGTCGTCAGCTCTAAGTTGGAGTTCAAGCTGTTGTCGCCGTCGCCCACGTCCTCGCCCTCCATAAGCGGCGTTCAGTCGCTGTCGCAACAGCTGTTCCCACAGCAGGCGCGGCAGTCCATCATCTGCGAGGGGCCCGACAGTAACGATAAGAGGCGAAACTCATTGGTCCACCAAAACAGTACATTCGATAAGGAGTTTGACACCAATTCCGTGGACTCGAGTGACTCCGCGAGCAGCGATTCGCCGCTTCTCATGACACAGAAGTTCTTCGCCGACGACTTGGACCCCACGTGTAGTCAATACCCGACGACTATCATCAGTGATTTCGATGATAACTCGGACATGAATTTGAGGGTATGTTTGAGTACTGTATATGTGTTTAGCTATGAGTTCTGCAATCGCTTTAATTGAATGTCTGTTTGTGTGTAGAATGCGATGATTTCGTCGACCAATGATAGCCAACAGGACTCGCAGTCGTCGTCCGAAGACATGTTTATGTGTTCGCAACCGATGCCCGAAAGCCTTGGCGTCCAACTGGTGGACATCGGCGTGCAAACGATTCCCATAAGTGAGAGCGCCGACACGTTCGTGGAGGACCCGGTGCTCAACGTACCCATGCGTCTCAGTCTAATTAAGGAGTTGTTTAATATGTTTGGAAACGTTTTGGACCAATACTCTGAGTCTTAACACAAGAGCTTTCATTTGTTAAAAACCATTTTAATTTATGTCTTAATATATCGTTAAGTTATATCGTAATTACACAATGAGTTTAGGAGTTATTTTAAAAATTGATTTTTGTTTTAGTTTCTCATCCAATAATAAACACAAAATGCAAACTAACAAAATGACACACAAATACTTTGCGCAACAAACAAATGAATGCTATATTTTTCTCCATAAGCTATACAACTATAAAAACAATTTAGGTGTTAATTGAATGTTATTTTTTAATACTGTAATTAAATTTAAAAAGAGTTTTTGATTGTCAGCGAAACTTATCGTTAGTATGAGAATAGTTAGTGAGAGAGAAATCATGTATTTTTCGGATATACAATATATTTATTGATATGTATATTAAGAGTTCAANATTGATGTGAACGAACGCATGGCTGTACGCATGTGGAAGGGCTACCGAGAGGCACAGGTAGGCTGGATAGAGGTGGCCGAGGAGCCTAAGCCCGGACCCACTACCAAACGGGTGTCGTTTTTGGTGATATACGCGCCCAAACGTGGCATACTTGAGGTGTGGTGCACCCAATTGGGTCCACGTGTCGGTGCCTTCAACGTGGGAAAGGCGTGTCGACTCATTCACTCTCAGCACACGATTATGGGACTCAACGCTCTACTCATCCGACAGTTTGACAGTTCCGTGGATCTGGAGAAGAGTCAGTGCTTTCTGTTTGACTACAGCACAGGTGTTGTGTATAGCATTGAGGTGCCGTTCCTGTGCGCCCTGACCGACCCAAACAGCAAACGTACCCGTGATCTGCACCTATTCCGGGAACTGCAGAGTGTGTTAAGCAACAGAGATCCCGGGGTCGCCGATGCCGAAAAAGTCGTCGAATTGGTGTCGATGCTAAAGACGCCCGAAGTGCGGAGGGATAGCCTCCAAGAGGTGTGTCGTGTGGCGCCGGACGTGGCTGTTGTCAAGGCGACGGCCGACAAACTCAGGGAACAGTTGATGGCCGGCGTCGAGAGGAATGAGTTGGACTTCGAGAGCAAACTGATCGCCCAAATGTGTGCACGTGTTCTGCAATTGTGTCGACTCTACGAAACGGTCGACACTAAGAGGTGCACTCAAACGAACAGTTATGTTGGCGATAGCGCCCGACCGCCCGACATACCGGAGCTCATGGAGTGTCTCAATTGGACGGGCAATAGTATCGCCCGAATCGTATCGTTCTTAGCGTTCAGGGAGGCGCTGATCACCGGTGATAANTCGCAAGAGGAAAAGGACCCCAAGTCGGAAGCGCCGACACCAATACCCCTGCGAATGGGTCTATTCGACAAACGACTTGCCCTAACGGTGACCGTATCGCCCAACAAGCGTTTGGCAGCCGTTGTGGACGACTTCGGCAGAGTTACGCTTATTGATGTGAACGAACGCATGGCTGTACGCATGTGGAAGGGCTACCGAGAGGCACAGGTAGGCTGGATAGAGGTGGCCGAGGAGCCTAAGCCCGGACCCACTACCAAACGGGTGTCGTTTTTGGTGATATACGCGCCCAAACGTGGCATACTTGAGGTGTGGTGCACCCAATTGGGTCCACGTGTCGGTGCCTTCAACGTGGGAAAGGCGTGTCGACTCATTCACTCTCAGCACACGATTATGGGACTCAACGCTCTACTCATCCGACAGTTTGACAGTTCCGTGGATCTGGAGAAGAGTCAGTGCTTTCTGTTTGACTACAGCACAGGTGTTGTGTATAGCATTGAGGTGCCGTTCCTGTGCGCCCTGACCGACCCAAACAGCAAACGTACCCGTGATCTGCACCTATTCCGGGAACTGCAGAGTGTGTTAAACAACAGAGATCCCGGGGTCACCGATGCAGACAAAGTCGTCGAATTGGTGTCGATGCTAAAGACGCCCGAAGTGCGGAGGGATAGCCTCCAAGAGGTGTGTCGTGTGGCGCCGGACGTGGCTGTTGTCAAGGCGACGGCCGACAAACTCAGGGAACAGTTGATGGCCGGCGTCGAGAGGAATGAGTTGGACTTCGAGAGCAAACTGATCGCCCAAATGTGTGCACGTGTTCTGCAATTGTGTCGACTCTACGAAACGGTCGACACTAAGAGGTGTACCCAAACGAACAGTTATGTTGGCGATAGCGCCCGACCGCCCGACATACCGGAGCTCATGGAGTGTCTCAATTGGACGGGCAATAGTATCGCCCGAATCGTATCGTTCTTAGCGTTCAGGGAGGCGCTGATCACCGGTGATAACGCTGCCCACGATGTCGATGGCGCGCCCGGCAGTGCCCTTACAATTGGCGACCTTTTGTCGCATTTTGTTCTCTATTCCAATCACATCGTCAAGAATGGCGACCAAGAAGTCTATAGCGATGTTCCCATTGAACTCAATGTCGATATAAGTGTCGACAAAACACAGACAAAACAATTAGTGAATTTGAGTCGATTTATGTTCACATCATATCTACAGTCAAATGATCCGGATTTAGAACAAGTGCTCCGATTGACGGCTATTTTGCCCTCAAATCTATTGACTTTATTCTTCGTGTCGTGGCTTTCGTCCAAACACTGCAGTCATTGGATGTGTTGGCAGTATTTTAGCCAATCGTTGGATGTGTTGATGATTTTAGTGAAAGAGGGCACTAATCAAGAGATACCGGTGCCGATGGCGACCGGTGATGACGGCGCCGGCGATGACGACAACGACCTACTCATCAATCAATGGAAAGACATTCTTGAGGTGATATGCGACTCAAACAATATAATGGCGGCACTGATCGCCGTTCATGTGATAAAAGCCGTCAACTCTAGAGAGAGGGCCGAAGCGAAGCCATTGGATAACTGGTCGGACGCCGAGTGGGAGACACTCCACATCGACAACGAAAGCCTTAATCTATTGATTAAACAGTTGGAGGACTTGTTTCTGTTGGATATGTTATTGCACTCCAATCGCAATGAGGAACTGGTAGACCAGCGCGAGTCCGACGAACCCTACATATCGTTGTCTTATATGTTAAGCAGTGGTCCGGGAATTGTCAGCGAATTGGTGGCCAAATGGTCCATTAGTTCCAATATAATGCCCGATATTATCAACAAAATCATTAGCGAACTGACAGATCGTCGACAATCGGACGCCAATCAGCGCCAGTCGGACGCGGAAGACGTCGGCGAGGATGTGGACGACGTGTGTGTGGGTGAGGAGGCGCTCGACTACCAGCGCGTGGACATCAAGACCACCTCCGAGCTCGTGGATCACGTGCGCCGGTGTTTCCCCAACTCGCTGGAGGCGGACGTACTGCTGGCCAACTGTTGCTGGGAACTGATGGTGCGCTGGAACAGAGACCCCACCGACGCCGACACCTCGCTGGACGAGTCGCTCGCATACCTGGGCTTCCTGTCCAGCGCCGTACTCAAGCACAACGTGGCGTGTCTTCTGTGGAAGACGTTTGTGTCGAAAAGGTTCGAGTGTTTGGCGCAACTCATGGAAAAGATGGGCCGAACCCCGAAAGACCGCATCTCTCGCAAGGAGTTGGGCGTTGATGAGAGCCGATTGGAGCCGTTCGTCAACTTCGGCCAAAAGCTGTTTGATTTGATACTCAACGCCAATATGTTGGCGGAGATGGAACCGATGCCACTGTTTATGGTCGACGACTGGTGGCGCCCGGAGTCGCGCCATCCGTTCACTCGCGAACAGCAGGCGAACCAATCGGTGCCGCTCGTCGTGCTGGCCGTCCACCAGAAAATAGCGAACGGCGCTCTAGTGCTCGAGCACTCGCGGTTGGCAACCATTATGCAGTTTATCGTGACGTTTCAGCTCAAGAACTCCAAACCCCTGTCCCTGTTTCCCAGCGAAGTGCAACAGTATTTGTTCAAAGAGTTGCATACCTTTCCCGTGGTGTCGGCCAATGCCAACATTAGTCTTACCGAAAGGCGCACTAAATTTGTGTTAAACGCTGTGTCGGCTATTGTACAGACACTGCCCGTCCATAACGAGACAGGTATTTGAGTTTTAAGTGCTTTTCATTTATTGATAATTTCTAAATATCTCTCATTTGATTAGACTCTGAATCACAATATATTGTGAATCAATCGAAACACTACTCCGAAGCGAACAAATGGTTCGGAAAAGCGGTGACCCTTTCGAGGGAATGGGAGATAAATGTGGACGAAGTTCGGCGAAAATTTGTATACGAATTATATTTCTATGGAATTGATCCGTTGGCTGAAGAGGTTAGACATCACCCCTTAAATAGATCCCATGTTTGACAAAACATTTGTCTCTATTAATGCACTTATGAATCGATAGGCAATTACATCAGTCATGGATGGCATGCGTTTAGGGCAAGAGTTGCTATCAGTGGCCGGACTGCGAGTGTTGAGCGCCATCAACGATAAGTACGGTTCTGTGGATCAGTTGCACACATTGCCCACAAATGTCTTGTTTTGGTTGAAGTCATTGGTAAGTGTATTATAGTCTATCGCTTGCTATTACTGGCACACAATGCGTGCGAATATATCTCGAATGGAAAAAATAGCCCCAATTTTGGACTAATTTATTACACTGTTTATGCGTTTAGAGTACGGATTCCAATAGCAGTTGTTATACCGGTTCCCCAATGCGGGCCACTATAGCACTACTCCAACACATCTCTAATTATGTATTCAATGATAAACAAAACGCAAGAATTTGTGACACTTTACTCGAAACCATTCGGCTTTTGAACCATAAATGACAGTCACTCACGGATTATAGCTAATAATTTACTGTCCATTCAAATGTGTGTATAATTAGTTTATTTTAAGGAATTATACATTTTTATTAAATATTACCAAGCGAATAATTTATATGAAATAATGTTTTATTAATTGAATAAATTTTATACTCTAAAGTTTTATCAACTATTGTATTGTTTCGGGTGTTTATGTTAAGGCAAATGAATAAACAATACTTTTTTTTAAATAAGTCACATCCGTATGTAATTTACGGGGAAAATAAAGTTTATTTTTATTCATACAATCCACTATACAATAATAATAAATCAAATTGTTTTATAGGCCAAGAATTGATTGTGAAATGCATTTTAAAAATAAAAATATAATTTATTAAAATAATTTATAATACATTCAAAAAATAATTTATTTAACATTAATTATACTGTACATCGCTTTTTTTGTGTTACAAAAGTCGATTTGAAGTATTAATTCAATTTATATACGCGATTGCAATGTTATTACAACTCAATTGGCAACAAAATTTATATTAAATTTATTTATTATATAATAAATAATCAATTTTTACGTAATATATTTTATATTAAATCTATATTTGTTTTTATATATTTATAAATATATTTACATTTAAAAAGTTATCGAAATATTCAACGAAAAATTGTCTAATTAATTAAAATAAACTTAAATTTTTTTGTTAATAAATAATTTTCTCACAACTTTTTGGTTGCTTCGAGTACTTGATGGCCACTTGATCTCCGATCTCATCCATCACTCGCAGCGCTTTGTCCAGCATTTCCTTGGTATGAGAGGCCGACACACAGAACCGGACGCGACCCGTCGTCAGAGGGGTGGCCGGGAAGGCGGCGCCCACTGTACCGATGCCTTTGGTGAACGCCGTCCGCACAACAGCACTACAATCACAACAATAATCAGCGATTAAACAACTTTTCATTAGGTTTTGAAGCAAACTTACGATATCTTAGAGCAGAAGCATATCATAATGGGAACGACCGGCGAGTCGTCGTTCCCGTAGACAACGAAACCCAGTTGTTTGAGTCGACGCCGAAAATAGCGGGCATTTCGGGACAGTCTCGCGATACGCATCTGGCCTACCGTTTGACCATAATGTGAGTTATAGACATAAATGGCAATTAGAGCGCACATACCATCGTGGGTGCCGTCGACCCCCATAATGACGTTAATAACGGACATAATCTGTTGGGCAATACAGGGGGCGATAGACGTGGCGTATGTGGCGCTCTGCGAGTGTACGGCGATGTAGTCTATGAGCTGTTTTCTGCCGGCGATATAACCGCCGGCCGCTCCGAAACTCTTGGTAAACGTTCCCATCCAGAGGTCGATGTCTTTGGGGTCGCAGCCAAAGTAGTCGGAAACCCCGCGCCCTCTGCGCCCAATGGCACCGATACTGTGCGCCTCGTCCAGGTATACGTAGCACCGGTACTTGAGTTTCAGTTTAATGATCTCGGGCAGGTTGATGATCGTGCCCTCCATGCTATAGATGCCCTCAACGATGATTATAATCTTCTTCCACGCCCTGTGGCTGTTCTCCTGACCATTGATTATGTTATCTCTGATTTTGCGCTCCAAGTCTTTCATGTCTTTGAGACACAAAAATAATGTTTAATTACTGTATTGTCTGTGAATTGATGCGGAAATACCGGCACAACTGTTAATAGCAATGCATTCATACCGTTGTGTTTGAATACGGCTACAGAAGCGCCCGATTTCTTGGAGCCGAGTATAATCGACGCGTGATTGTACTCATCGCTGATGATGAGGCACCCCTTGCTGGCCAGCGTCGGTATGTTAGTCGAGTTGGTGGCGAACCCCATACCGAACACAATACTCGACTCGACGCCCAGAAACTGAGCCAAACGCAGCTCCAGTTCCCGTTGTATGTCGATTGTGCCTAAACCATGAAACACGAAGCAATTGGATTTAATTGTTAAATATAATTATAAACGACTCGTTTGAATACCCAGCTCATGGCGAGTAGCGCCCACTCCCACCCCATACTTATGCAGTACGCCCTCTACTCGGTCCACATTCGTGCCCTCATTCTCAGCGAAACCCAAGTAATTATAAGAACCCATATTTATAGCCCGCGTTGTGGTTCCCGGGTATCTGTGAGTCCGCAAAACAAATTAAGGACCGACTGGTGAGACTAAATGTATGTTTTTTTGTGTGTGAGGGGTGTATATACTCGAAAGTCCAGTTATAATCATTGGTGACCCGATCCATGACATCGATCTCAGCCCCGGGCACGCAAGTGATGGGCCGATTGCAGCCGTCGCACACTCGCCGGTAGATGTTTCGCGTGAAAAAGCTCTCAAAACTCTGGTATAACGGGACGTAACCCTAAAACCATAGACCAATTGGTGACTATGAGTGACTATATGTCTAACCATTTATAAGTCCAGTTCCTCACCTCTCGGTGCGATTCGACCGCCCCTCTAGTCTTCTCTAATCTGATTTTTCGTAGAAAATCTCTTAAATACCCGAATATAATAAGGACGGCATAACTGATATAACATAGGATTTCGAGGTAAAGGGGCGGCTCTTCCTTCCGGTCGGATATATATATTTGGCGCCCGTTTTGTCCGTTTAATTGTCGCTTACTTTTGCCCTATGAATGCAAAACATTATAATAAATATATACTCTATTTATATAAGTTATAGACGACTGAATAGATTGATCGCCAATTAATCAAACGATCAAAAAATTGAGATCAAGTTCACAGTCAATGAGTGCAGTGCAAAGGGAGAGCACCTGTACGTCATAATTGGTAAGCTAATAATTTATATATACGATTACATACATTCATAGAATTGGCCAATTCTTGGCGATTTATGGATCCATTAGATTGTTGGACACACTTATGACTGCCATTGAGGCCATTGGTGCCGTCAATGAGTGTAATCGCGTCGACGATTGGACAGTAGTCGCCGGCACAGCCGCCGTCCGGTCCCATAATGCCAGCGACGGAGCGGTGTATTCACTGGGAAAAGCAAAAGTCGAGCCCAAAAACGAAAGCCCAACCACTTAGTGATGAATCGATGGGAACATCAATAAGAAAATTGATGGCAAAAAGAAAGCAAAAAACATTGAAGCGACTGATGGCTGCAATTATATGCGAGAGAAAAGTGATTCATTCACTCGAATCGCTCGCAAATTATGATTGCATTTCATTTCATTCACACGTAATGAGCGCTTCGATAACCACTTCTCTCTTCAACCCAAACACACATCTCTTTTAGGGATTTAAAAAAAACTTTTGACTTTTGGCGAAAAAACTTTACGCCGGAGTGTTAGGGGCTATGCGTTTGGAAAACCTGTTATTGAACTTCAAATGTTTAAGAAGTTTTTTAACTGAGTCGAGGGCAAAGACATCGCAGGTATTTCCACTCACTGTATACTTCCAGTCTCTCTCTCTCTCTCTCTCTCTCTCTCTCTCTCTCGTGAGGGCACAAACATATTGAACAGAAACTACCGGTGCTATGTGTGTGTGCGCGCGAGTGAACCACACATTTGATGATAGCTCGAGATAATGGTCTGTGAAAGTGCTCATCACATCATTTACTGGTTTTTGCTTTTCGGACACTTTATTGAGTTTTTGTCTTATTATTAAATAAATATATGCAATGTTTTCGACACAAAAATGTTTTCCACCAAAAAATCTAATGATATTTTCGTTTTGTTGTTGTTTTCTGTTTGGTTATCTATTCCTTGAGATTGAGTTTTTTTGGTATTACAGTATAATCTTATAAGTTATCATAAAATAATAATAAATATTTTCAGTTAAGGTATGCGAAAGACATTTCGCAAAATTAATCTTTTCATTTAATAATATACCTGAAAATACTTGTTATGTAAACTCAGTTATGTTTTGTATATATGAATGCAAAGTAAATGTTTAAACTGTTTTTCACGTATTCTTATAAGCGATTCATAAACACACTTAACATTAAAGAGTTATCCCCATAAGGAATACAATATATAAAGTTACTGTTAAAGTATTTCTGAGTGCCATATAAAGTTCAGGTGAAAAGTACTTACATTTGTTAACTAATTAGTTGTTAGATGCTTGAGCCTGGTATCGGTGCTAACCATTATACCATTATGAAGTGACTAATTCCGGGTTGTTTAAATTGAGCTGGATGTGTTTGACACCAATGGATTAATATATAACAAGCTTATAGACAAAATACACGCACAATTTTTAAAATAAATTAAATGTTAATACTGCACAGTAGTTTTATAATAAATAATTTTAATCATAAGCTGGAAATAAATTATGTTAACAATTATATGTGATGTTAACTTAGCAATCAGCTTTCACATGAAAGCTTTGTAAACTTTGTACAATTTGAACAATTAATGGGAATACAAAAATGATAGCATATGTCATTTATTCAACTAGAAAATAAAGATAATAGCAAAAACAACATTGTCAACTAGTACTGTATTTCTCAATAATCTATTATTTTGTATTTATTGCAAAAATATTAATTAGCAATTTAAACAATTGAATAAATATTATACAATAGGTTTCCAGTTTCGTATAACAATGTTCTCAATACACAAATTTATGCTGGTACAATATACTGTATATGATCTACCATAGGAGAGTAACCCTTTCTGACAATGTTTGACAACTCCCGATAAAATGTATTTACCGGTAGATATAGTATATTAGTAACAAGTTATTTTTAAAAGCTAATCGTACGATTTAATCAAACTTACTATAACGAGTGTCTCTTGTAGTTAATCGTTAATAATGACTATATTGTCTGAATTTGGGTTATATTTTGAGTAAACAATTGTTTGGTCAATATTTGGGGTATCATTAGTGATTTTCAGCTGTCGATAGGCTTTGAAAATATCGATTAATAGCATAATGATTGCCGTCAGTGAAGTGAATGCTGTTATAATATTTGTTAACCAAAACTTTAGTTCATTCTAATAGACAATTAGTTTAGCCGTTAAAGTTAATTAACTTTTATGAAAGTATAGTAAAATACTTACAATTTTGAATACCAGTGGCGCTAATCCGTAGGACATGACCACTATATTAATTAGCAACAAATTAAGCTTAATATTTCTCACATGAATGCAGTCAATGAATGCGTAAAGGTTTGCGTAAAATGCTATTGAAATTCCGATTTTATTAATATAATCAAGAATTTTACGTAAAATTCCCGTATATTTGTACGAAAATATTCCTAAAAAAGTAGAGAATTTCAGTATAAATCTCAAGACATTAAAGAATAGTATTTGATAGATATATATTACCTGAGAGTGAGAAACAGGAAGTACTCAAACACATCAACACAAATGCCATCAAAAGTGTAAATCTGAGCGAGAATTGTCTCTTACTGAAGAAAATCATAACACAATTCAGTGTTTGTATCAAAATAAATGTGGCGTCAAATGAATTCCGGTGTCTCTCCAGCTTCTGGTGCTGTGAATACTCTTCATTGAAATACACCACCGATGCCATCAATAATCTATTCATACAAATTAAATAACAACTTATAGTGATTATCTTGTAATGCAAAGTAACCTGTGTTCATTTTGATGAGTCGGATATAAATTTGGAATTAAAAATACTTATACTTTGAATTTACAAACAAAAAGCACACCAAACTGTTCAGGGAGATTTAGATTTTTATATCACACTTACAGAATGTGCATAAGTCATGTACCATGGTCATAATATAAGGGCTATGAAAGCACTGTAGTGAATCATGCATTTCGGGTTCACTCAATATTCGTTTTTGTGTTTGCCCTTATATTTTGACCATGGTACATGATTTATGCACATTCTGTAAGTGTGATATAAAAATCTAAATCTCCCTGAACAGTTTGGTGTGCTTTTTGTTTGTAAATTCAAAGTATAAGTATTTTTAATTTCAAATTTATATCCGACTCTTCAACATTAACACACGTTATAATAAGTATTACTAATCACAGAATTATAGAATATTCTACTAAAGAATCTAGACATCTTAAATGCTAAACAAATATAATTTACATTATAATATGAATAACTCAAGAATTGTGAAAAACAATAGGATTCTGTGATTATAGTGTTAATTAATTTACAGAATTATTTGATTCCTTGTCGTCATATTAATCCCGAAGTGATCTCTCGTCTCCTGTAATACAAAACCCGTCTCTAATTCATCGACAAAATTGATATTCTTTAGAAATTCGTGCGATTCGTGCAGATAGAATTTGAACAAAACGAACCTGGTCATACAAATTTGAATCAAACATCATATTTTGTACCCAAATTCTCGAGTCTCAATATATAGGTTACCCCAAGAATATCAACGGTATGACCGAAAAGCTGGTCAACACGTGAACCACTTTCCAGTCTTTGGAATAGTGTATCAATAATAGAGTGAATCCTTTGGCAAATAGTGAGCCCAGGAGTCCGCACAGGAATAGTATCTCATGGAACCGGTGGTCGGCATTCACTTTGAGTTTAGACATCAAGAGGACTGTTATATAAAAGTTGGCGCCAAAGAAGAGCGCCGACAGGAATCGCATCGATATAAACAGTGTTGTGTTGTATAGGAAGCACACCATTAGATTTGTGGTCAGCATTAGTGTGATTGATGTCAGGATTATCACTAAATAGCTCTCGAAGTATAAGACAATTGTCGATAACATGAAAGCCACGCTTGTGATGAGCGGCAATACCTCGAGAATCCATTTCCGGTCGCAAACCAATAGTAACTATATTAAAATTTTAAAAACTATGTTATAATTAAATTAAACTTAATAACTTTTTTATAAACTAAATTTTATATACATAATATGCAAACTGTAATAAGAAATTTTTTATAAACTCTCAGTCAATATATAAAAAGTTAAGATTAGTGTTTGTAAAGTTTTAAGTCTAGTTTTAAGTTCAATGCTAACAAAGTGTGAATAAATACCGGTATAAAAGGTCTGTTAAAATTGAGCTCAAAGAGTATGTTTAAAAGGACTATAAACAAAGTATTAAATACCCGGGTACAACAGCGCTGTATAAAATAAGAGTGTGTATAATACCGGTATAAAAAATGGTTAAAATAACCATAGAGTGTTAAAAATCCCCAAAAGTCCTTTTGCTTATTAAATAATTTTCTAATTCTTTATATTTTCTAATATAAAATAAAACAAGAATTTGAATAATGATGCGACCGATGGTCACCTGAGATATGATAGACATCTTATGATCGGTAAAATACCAGCCATGGGTGCACTCAATGATATTATGGACGGAGTAATCGATTTCTACATTATCTGAGGAATTGGTGTGTCTCTCGCGATACGTAAACTGATGGCAATGGGATTGAGTGTCTGGGCTGATGGGCCCATACCGCTTGGGCACCTGATCCCAGAAGGGAATGGCACTTTGCTTCCAATCCTTGGGCGAC